CACAAATGGCTGGCCAGCATACACATATGTGTGTACAGCTTGACTTGTATGAGTGGCAGGCTGCTGCAAATGTACAGCTGCACACACAGCTCAACTTGCACGACCAGCAGACCAGTTCCCCTCTCCCTCCCTTTCCGCCAGGCCACCTAGCCATATACGTAGTTTGGGGACTGTTGCCCTACCTGATCTTTCAGGTTTTTTAACAGTGTGCCCATTGTGATTGTGAGATCACCTTGCTGCTTATCACACTCACCTTCCTTCCTTCTACCTTTCCCAGAATTACAGCCTACTCCAGAGAACTGGTTCTTTGTGTAGTATGTCAGAAGCAGGATAATTTGAGCCTCTTCTTTTATGCTTCCAATGAAAACTCTGGGTTGACTTGTTTAATAATCCATGTGTTTGCTTCCTTGGCTATTCACAGTATTATCAGGAGTCTCCTTCAACACCAAACTTCAAAGTTGTTTATACAGATAGTCTTTAATTTACGACCAATCACTTAATGTCTGTTCAAAGTTCCAATGGACCGACTTGGGGGTACTTACCACCTAGATTCTAAGTTCCAATGGTGATCCCTCCCTGCGGTCACATGACTGCATTTCAGGCACTCCACAACCAGGCTGAATTTACAGCCATTTGCAGGATCCTGTAGTCATGTAACCACATTTTAGGACAGTTTTACAAAGTCTGCATTTACTTCTGATTTTCAGTAATTCACCATGTCCATAGTCAACTATTAATTTGCTTTACAACTATGGTGCTTACTTAAAAACCATTGTAGAAAATTCACTTTACAACTGTCATAAGTTACGACCATGCTGGGTAGTCTCCATTACGGTTGTAACCCAAGGACTACTTGTAAGAGAGAGAGGGGGGAGGGGATGGAAAAAAGAGAGAGAGAGGGGAAAAAGAGAGAAGAAAGGTTGTGTTTCTATGTGAAAGCTATCATAGCTGGTGTGTAACAATCCAAATGGCCACTAGTGTTCATTTAGATTTTTGCAGTTTATTTATTTATTGGTTCGATTTATATGCTGCCCTTCTCCAGAGACTCAGAGCGGCTTACAATGCGTTAAGCAATAGCCTTCATACTTTTGTATATACCTGCTTAGTAGGGCTTCCCCCCCCCAAAGCGGTGTTCTTTTTTATACAAAGTCAGCTTATTGCCCCACAAACTGGGTCCTCATTTTACCTACCTCGAAAGGATGGAAGGCTGAGTCAACCTTGAGCCTGGTGAGATTTGAACTTGCAGTAATTGTAGGCAGTTGGTGCTATTTAACAGCACTTTAGTCTTCTGAGCCACCAAGGCTCTTTCAAATAATTATTTACGACCTAGTCCATTGCCCTAATTCTAATGCTACAATCCTGATTTATGGAAAGTTTCAGGTACTTTCTTGTCTATGCCTATGCCTGTCTATGCTGTATGAATGCTTATTCACCATGGACTTATTTGGCTTTACCTCCTAGTAAATGCATTTTACATTTGCTTACTTTTCAAGTAAGACATTTCACAGACTCACTTAGCAGATATAATTGCCAAGAGCCCAAAATGCAATCACAGGACTGTGTGTGTGTGTGTGGGGGGGGGCAGACAACAGAAACTCGAATCTGGGTTGTACCTTTTTGGGGGTCTGTAACAACTATGGTCACTAAGTGAAGATTATTACCGGTATTACACACACACACATTAAGACACGAAATTTCCATAATCTAATATTCTAACTTAAAGCTATTCAAATTTAATACATCAGAACAAATTAATTTTATTCTGTGAAGCTAGTATGGAAGTGGTCTATGGAATGGCGCGAACTGGTTACAAACATCAAAATAGGAGATAAGAGCAAGAAGTTGTCCAAATATTGCCATTGGTTATTTTTTGCATTATGGGTTAGACATGATGGAATCAAGCAAACTTTAATAACACTGCCATCTAGTCTTCATTTTGGAAATAGGTAGTTTACCTTAGTGGCATGCATACTTTGGATTTCTAAAGCAAAACAATTCTTTGAAGCATGTTTGGGCAAGCACTAAATTGTTTAATGTATATTATTCCAGATTCACATGAGAAGGTGTAGGTAATGCAATCATGTAATCCTGGTAGATTCTCCGTGAGCACTATGCATTACAACAACTTTTTGCTGTCAGGTTTAAAGCATTTCACACACTTATTCTATCTAACTACAGTATGAACATGAAATATTTCATATTATGACAATTGTGTGGGAAGATCAGCAGGAATATTTGAATGAAACACAAGTGAGGACTGGATTTTAATAAAAATAAGATATTGTCATTGTTAAAACTGACAATCAATATGCACAGTTGCATATCACCTTCACAGATTGCAATATATTTTCTGTCTCTGCACTTTTACAAATAGGCCAGGGAAAGCTATTGGATGCAATAGTAACAACAAATTGCCTGTCCCAGGCATAGTAATAAAAATGCCAATGCACATAAATTTTTTAGTGAACGAAATGAGTTAGGTTGGAATCAAATATGTGCTTAGCATGGATTGAAATGTCAATATAAATAAATGTTGCTCTGTGTAGCAATATTAGTTGCAGTCTGATCTGAGTGCAAGTTACAGGATGGTTTTGCAAAAGGTGAGTTGGAACATAAATTAATAGCTCAAAGCTCCATACTATCTGTTAATGCATGGATCCCCCGTCCCCGGTCCATGAACTGGCACCGGGCCGTGGCCTGTCAGGAACCAGGCAACACAAGCTAGTAAAGCCCTAGTTGCTCAGGTGCGGGACCCAGGCAGTGAGTGATACCATGCCCCCCTTTAGTCCATAGAAAAACTACCCTCCATGGAACCAGGCCCTGGCATCCAAAAGGTTGGGGATCACTGTGTTAATGGATTCCAAGGTTATTATTTATTAAATTTACATGCATGCTCACATGATGACAATAACCTCAGATAGCAAAGTTGAATAGTGTTTGGACTAAAGTTTTAAAGGAGTAAATAAAAATATTTTGAACTGCATCTTCTATTGTATATCTGACACAGAATCCTTTTCAAATAGGGCCAGAACTGTATATTAGAAACATCTGCAATAAAAAAAATCATGATAAATTCCTCCCGTCATTGTCCGCTTCATACACATTTTAAAATTTCCAATATTCTGAGGAAGTTTGAAATTTCCAACACATTTTTGTTATAGGTTTTTGAAGCTGATTGTTAGAAAGCTTTATTTTTCAAACAGCAGTAAGAATATGAAAGATGAGAGCAAACGCATATAAAAGGACAGAAAAATGACAGAATACTAAATCATAACTGTATAACTAGGTAGTAACAATAATCAAAACATCTGAGAAACAGAATATTTGTCTTTCTTTATTCCCCCTTCTCTTCTTGTATCTGCTTTCCCACAACTATTGTGAAAATAGGAATTTGTATTTGTGTAGGTTTATTTCTATTTCTTTGAAATATGGTAATCTAGCTGGGCACAATGTCTGGTTTGTGCAAACTAAACATTTCACTTTGAATTAAGATGACAGGAAAACAAAAGCTTATAGAGGCAGAAATAAAAACATGCAGAGAAGGAAAACAGTGGCATACATGCACTGCATGAAAACATGAACCCTGTCACTATTTGTATAATTGTAGTTTTCTTGCTCAGCATCTTTCAGGAATCTGAGAGATTGCTCAGTGCCTTGACTAATTGTGCGTCCAGATTTTTAAATTCTTCTTTCAGCTTTTTATTGTCTTTTCTATGCCCCTTATTGCTCTGAGGTACAAAGGTGACAGAAGTTATTACTATAGCTGTCTTTAACAACACAAAAAAGCTAGAAGAAAGACAAACTAAATCCTACTGGATGAGTGGTGCTTTAAAAAAGCAAAGACAGACATATGCTTAAAGAAATCTGAACTGGAAAAACAAGAATCAGTGCCACACAAGTGAAGAATGGCTTCCAACTGATACAAAAGCCACCACAACCTTGTGTAGAGGACTTTAGCTCTGGTGATTGAGAAAGAAGTGAAGTTAAATGGTTGCTAACTACTGGGAAAGCAGAAAACATGAAAAAGAGACTCTGGAAGAGAATGTTCCTGACTTGACCAATACTATCCTTAAAAAAAAAGGGGGGGGAGTGAAGGTTTTTGAAAGGCTTTCAAAATTCTCTTAATGTGTTCTACAAAATAAAGTAGCATTCCTGGAATCCCTGCAGTGAATATCTCATGACCTGGCCTATACTCAAGGGCTAAAGATTAAGAATGACAACTATTCAACAATAATGTCTATGGACAGTCTCAATCATCCAGGTCATGGTTTTCCCAAAGGTACGTTTTCAAGAGGCAATAGGACTTTCTGGTTTTTCTTTGCAGACATTTGGCTTCTCATCCAAGAAGCTACTTCTTGGATGAGAAGCTAAACGTCTTCAAGGAAAAACAGAAAGTCCAGTTGCCTCTTGAAAAAAACACCTTTGGTTCAACAATAATAGATTTCTGGACATCCAAGATTTTGCAGTTCAATATTCTCTCAAGAGGAAACAACAATTTGAAAAAGATGAAGGGTAGCCATTATGAAGTAAAAAAACCAGGCTGTGCTTTAACTCCTGGTTAGGTGAGGTGTGTTTTGCCATTGTTGTCCCCTTGCCACTGTCTTTCCACCTTTGTTTAGCTTCAACCAGCTCTTTCATAGAACAACTTAAAGAATCAGCACATTGCAATTGGTGGAAGTCTGGGGAAAGTGAAGAGAAATGCTCGGATTTGCCTTTCTGATTTAGGCACCGCGTCTCTAGTGAAGTAGGTGGAGGCACTGGCCCAAAGGCAGCCGAGGATAAACAGGGAAGCTAGAAGATCTTTATAAGCTGGTCTCCTTTCCAGCTCTTTAGCATGGAAGGATCTGTGCGACGACGGCGAGAAGGAAGAGTCCGAGCCAGACAGCGAAGCAAAGTTACCTGAAGAAACCCGCGCGCCAGTCTTGAGCTAGGAGGGGAGGAAGCAGGGAGGGAGAGCGCTCGTGTTCCTGTTCTTCTGCTGGGGACCGGGGTCCCTTTACCTTCCAGGCCAGGTTGCTGTCGAAGTCTCGACACCGCAAAAAGCGGATCAGACCGGCGTCAGAAAGGTCAGACTGGCGGACCTCTAGGTTCTCTTCCACAGCTCTGCACCTCAGCGCTGCCACAGCGGCCCTCACGAGGGGCGAGTCGTCCGGCAACTCGTTGAGTTTAACCGGCGGGCAATTAGGCTGGTCTTGGTCCATGTCGCTGCCCTAAGCGCCGCTGCCCATAACTACTGGGAGAAGAGACGAACGGAAAAGAGCGCTTCGCCTCGTAACAACTTGGCACAGCCAGAAAAGCGCTTTCAAGTCCATTGCGAAAAAAATAACCTGATACTCGATGCCCCTCCCCATGGCAAATAATAATGGCAGCATTAGGACGGTCGACGCTCAGCTATTCCAACTGCTAACTGCCCGGCCAAGACAGACGGCGCGGGGAGGAGCACTTTGCGCAACACGGGGGTGGAGAAGCAAAGGGACAGTTGGGACAGTCGAGCCCGGCTGTCGCCAATCTCCAAGGCTCCTACTAGCATGGGCGCGGAAACCGAAGGCAGCTTCTTAAATCAACTTTTCTCCTAGCAGTTAAGCAGATCATGGCTCTCCCCGTGTTACAGAAGTCTCGGTAGGATTGGCTGGATTCACTTAGAAAGCTAAATGCTCCCTAGCTATAAACAAAGCTAGCATGCGCTTTGTTTAATTTTGGTTTAAGCTGTTATCGGCGTAAACTGGGTTATATTCAAGATCTCTTCGAGTGGCACTCGTGGCTTAATTATTGTTGAGGTATCCATATTTATTTCTTCTTCTTGCTGTATCAGGTCCTGTGACAATCTTGGAACCTGATTTATATCAAGGCAGATTTTTTGGGGGGGTGCTCCTGTTTGTCTCTTACCACCTACCATAAAACAATAAAATCCTATGTTTAGAACAGGGGACAAAAGTTATGTGTGAGAGAAGTCTGACTTAACAGACTAAGTCACTCAACAAGGATCACATTTTGCCTTAGCACAGTTTAATGAAGCCCAAAAATGTCCCACTCTCTCAGCACTTATATTTCCGTGCAAAAATAGGTACATATCTGCAAATAATGCAGATTTTCATGGTCATTGTTTTTGGTAAGGTCAGAATCACAGTCTGATACTATAAGGCAAAAGAAGAAAAAATGTATTTTTTGAACTGGCAGGGGGTCAAACTAGATGATCTCTAAAATCTCTTTCTCTTGAACTGGCAGGGGGGTCAAACCAGATGATCTCTAAGATCTCTTTCAATCCTAGACATTCATTCTATGGATGTCTCTATACATCATGTAATTCCTGCTTTCTTTCCAGCAGTTTACTAACCACAAACTATATGTATAACCCATGTCTATTGGCTCTCAAAATAAGCTTTCCAACTAACAATTGAACTCTTATAAGAAAATCCAAATTAATGATCAAGCATTTCCACATATGTTCTTTTCATGATGTGTTTAAATGGTAATAATAATGAAGCCTCAGAATAAAAGTTTTCTCATCGGAAAACATATATCTGATCCTACATTTTGAAAGATGGAGGGAGGAGCAAAATGGCCACAGAATGACAGCATTTTTAGTGACCTTTTAATTTTTCTATTTCAGTTCTTAGTTTTAAAATAGCTTACTTGTTTTATTCACATTAATTAGTAGTTTTAGTTCTTATATTGGTATTAGCAATTTAAGAACTTTAGAATTAAGATTAGTTGGTTTTATAGTCTGGAATTCAACAGCTTTAGACACCTGCTGATGATATGAGGCAGCAATGGCTATAGGAAAGTAATAAAAAAGAATTCAGCGGGAAAGACCAAAGGAAGGACAAGTTTAAAAAGATACCAAGAGAAAATTTCAAACATTCTGAACACTAAGGCTCCAGACAGCTAAATCTGAACTATTTGTTCCAACGTAAGGACGCAGTGTGTAATTTCTCTTGTCCTTCCTGTCTGCCCTCACAATCTTTGCTAATAAAGCCTATGCCCTATTTGATTAGGAAATGATTTTTCCTCTAGTGATAAGTCTTCTTTAGGAGTTATATGCGGGAACCCTTTGAAAGCCACAAGTAATTTAAATGTGAATATAAAACTTGATTGCTAAGAATTGCCTTTTAACAGCTGCAAGGGTTACAGGTAGTCCTCAACCTATGACCACAAGTGGGACTGGAACCTCTGTCAAGTCTGCCAGCACTTTCAGCTCTTTCAGCCCCAGTCTTGCCAGCACTTTCAGCTCCCAGTTCAGGCCAGCACTTTCAGGGCTGCTAGGCTTACTCCTTCCCTCCGGGAGCCTCCTATCACTCGGAGATGCTTGCAATTCAACAGCTGAGAAGGCTGCCGGCCATCTTATAATGTCATCCTTCCCTTCAGGAATGAGAGTAGGCTGTAGCAGTGGCTGGCAGCCTCCTGGAGGCAGTAGGATCAAGGTTAGCTCGGTGGGCTGTGGCAGTGCTGACCAGGGCTGACACTGTCACTTAATGACACAGTTATTAAAGAAGTAACAGCCAATGTTATGACTTTTTCTTTTACCAGGGTTGTTAAGCAATGCGTGGTGTTTTTAAATGCATCTGGCTTTCCTCATTGATTTTGTCAGAAGTCCCCTAGGAAGGTAGCAAATGGCTACCGTGTGACCCCAGGACACTAAAATTGTTGTAAATTCATGTCAGTTGCTAAACGCCCCACATGACTGTGGGAACATTGCAACAGTCATAAGTGCAAGGACCAGTGGCAAGTTCACTTTTTCAGCACTGTCATCACTTTGGTCCTTAAACAAATGATTGTAATTTGAGGATTTCCTGAATTTGAATTTTCGATCAGCTGCTACATACCAATCAGAAAGTAAATGAATTTAAGATTATAATGGAAAGTACAGAACCAAACTTGTTGAAGAGTCAGCCACAAGACTACATGTATGAAAATTGTCAGGAATGAGGTTCAGGGACACGGGATTCTGTTCCAAACTGCTATCAATCCTCTTAATGGGGGCAGGTGGCACAAGGGGCAACCAATACTACACTCCTAAGTCTTCAGTGCAGAATATTAGTTAGCATCAATCCCCGGCTTCCCAGATGGCATGGACTTGAAAGAATATTGACTTTTAGGCATTATGCACTTCCTTCAATTTTTTTTTCAACTTAAAAAACATTTTCTAAGGGCTTTCAAATTACGCTTCTATGTGAGTTTCACAATAGCATTTAGCCTCTGCTAAATTCTGGGAGAAGAGCCAAGCCTGCAAGGGAGGATGGCATAAATCCCAGAGTTCATAATCTCAGCCAGCAATTTTCTACATAGCAGCTCTACCAACTCCAAAGTCAGCCCTGGAGAAGCACAAGAGATACAGCACCCTTGATTTAATTAAAGGGAAGATACAAACATCAGTTAATCAACCCTATGAAGAATAAGGAAAAACCAGTTCCGTTGTTTGGAACAACGAACAATTGTACACAAACTCAAAGCAGTTAAATCAATGCTTTGGTTAGTGACTGCTGCAACTGAGTCCCTCAATGTTTCATCACTGCCCTCCAATTGTCCTCCTGTTGAAATGCTGCATTCTTTGAATGCTTAACAGCCCCCTAAAAAGTTTTCCAATGTAAATTCATTCAGACAAATGAAGAAAGTGTCAAGTAATTCAATGTAATGCAATCTTTGTATAACCTCCCAGCTCACAGGCAAAAAGCCCTTACAACTGGATTCTCAAGAACAGACTAGTGGAACTTCCGGTCTGGAACCACGGCACTATAGTCAGGGAAATAGCGGGCTCTAACGAGCCCACGAAACCCCAACTGACAAACCACTGTCCGATCAGTCTTTGGACCGACCCTGTCTTGTAGGGATGGGGGGAGAAGAGGAGCACCTCGGTGGGCCAAGGGGAACAGGCAAGTTCCTCGGAGGCCAGAGGGAATCCTCAAAGTCGGCGATGGGGATAGGCAGCCATGGCGGCTGCCACAAAGCCGCGGCGGACCGTAAAAAGATCGTGCAGGAGGAAAGAAGAAAGAGCGAGTTTCTTGAAGCTGGGTGAGTGACACCAACCCAGGCAAGAAACAACGTAACTATATGGTTTTTAACAAATAAGACCCCAAACTTTAAGTAGTGGCTACAGATTCTTGGGGCTTGAAGATTAAGAAAAAAAAACCAATAATTGGAAATAAAGACCCATGACAGACTTTGTCTTAGTAAAGTTGACTTGGAAGAATTGGCTTTTAACAACTTAGAAAATTGGGTTTCTTTTTTAATTGGAATGGATTGGAGGAATGTCTCTTTGGGAGTTTACACTTTTGAAAAGTTAATGTAGCTAATGAAGAAAGACAGACGGATGGTTACATAATTGCCATGGAGTCTGTGGTGACTAAGCAGGAGAGTGGATTGAAGAGATCTCCCTTTCGTTTGGAAAAGAAACATTTTAAATGGCTTTTTACCTTGGATTACTTTGAAATTAACATTAGATCTATGGATTTTGGATATTCTTATTCTGTCTTTGGGTGATTTTAGAAAGAAAGAAAGAAGGAAGGAACAGTTTGGACTTTTTACAATGGAAACTAACAAGCCCAGCAAAAAAAAGGTGTGGTGTAGGAACAAAAGAGAGGAAGTTGATGCATTATACATGGAACAGACATCATAAAAGCATTAAAGTAACATACAGAATTTTTTAATTTGAACAGATGGACTTTGAAGTGGAAATGTCAGCCTCAGCTTTGCCTGCTTCAGCTGCCATAAGAAACGGGGGGAGGGACTAGTAAAGGGGGCGAAGGGGGGGAAGGGAGCAGGGGGTGTTTTTCCATTGTAGGAGGTGTCTTCCCAAGAACCGAAAGTGAATCTCCAAAGGGGCCGGCTAACCAACTGCCCTACATTCCTGATGAATGACGCTGCCAGACGTGATGCCACCTGACCTTTGGGAGACCTTTGGATTGGATGATGGTCAATGGACACGGGGGGGGGAGAAGCTTAGTAGATGCTATTTCGTGCGTTTTGCTCACTTCCAGCTTTACCTGGGTTGCGATCATTTCATATTCAGTAAAAGTACTAATCTCTTTAAAATGATTGAGTTTGGGTTTTCCTTTCCTGGATATTGAAGGAAGCATACCTGACATTAAGCTGGAAGTCTCATCCAGTCATCCCGGACAAAAACCGAGGGGACTGTAAATCCAAATTATGTCAGATCAAGAGAGTGACGGAGGAGAGCAAATGGGGGCAGCGAGTTCAACTGCAGCCGCCCCCCAAGCGGAGAAAGAGAATGCAGAATGGTTGGAAAGTCTCCGTTTAGAGCCGGAGGAAGCCAGATGGTCGAAAGGAGTGGGGAGGCTACCGGACTGGGGGGAGAACCCCCGAGGAGTGATGACTTCCAGACCCCGTAAAAAAGAGGCAGTGTGGATACAAGAGCAAAAGGAACATCTCATGATGGAACAAGCCTTGCAGCTTATCCGTGATGTGGAAGAGAGCAGGAAAAACCGTGAGTCTTTTGGAATTCCTGTGGAGAAGGGGGGAGAAGGCCCCAGGGGGGAGCCAGAAGAGACAGCCTGTGGGGGAGAGGAAGAGTTTGAGGAAGAAACATCCCAGGCTTCAGCAGCTCAAGGGAGAGATGCAGCCGGCCAGAGAACCCCAGCCTTGCAGGCCCCCCCACCCCTGCA